ACATCTAGCGTACAAGTAACGAATTCAGCGCATCCATTGCGTATGAGTTGCGTATGCAGTGCACAACATTATTTTTCGGGCCGCGAATAGGTCAGTATGCAGTGCGCATGCCGAGCGTATTCCGGACGCACCCGACTTATGCCGACCGCATGCTTGACGCACTTCTGAGCGTATTCCCGCCGCATTTCCGCCACTCGCCGTTCAGCGCACATTGCATCTGCGCTGCAAGTACGCTATGTATACGTCCAATACAGACGGCTTATATGCTGACGGGGTGCGTCACGAACACATAGCGTACTCGTAACGCACTCAACCGATGCGGGACCGATGCGCTGCGTAATTATAACTTATGACCTGCGTAACAGCGTACGCAGCGTAGTTTTGTGCATGCCCAAAACTATCCTGCGTAGGCCTACTGGGTCGTACCATGCGTATATCTGCGTACATAAAACCTACACAAAACGATAGAGCATGCATATGAGGTGCGTATTGTGCGTACGATTGCGTATGAAAAAAAATGTCAATGTGCAATTCATAAGGAATTAGGATACGCAGAATTGTGACAGGGCCCTTAGGGCCATTAGGGCCCTGTCACACTTCTGCGTATCCTAATTCCTTATGAGTTGCGCATTGACATTTTCTTCATACGCAGTCGTCTGACAATACTCACCTCATATGCGTCTCTATCGTTTTGTGTAGGTTTTATGTACGCAGATATACGCATGGTACGACCCAGTACGCAGGATAGTTTTGGGCATGCACAAAACAACGCTGCGTACAATGTTACGCATGGTCATAAGTTATAAATACGCAGCGCATCGGTCCCGCATCGGTCGAGTGCGTTACCAGTACGCTATGTGTTCGTGACGCACCCCGTCAGCATATAAGCCGTCTGTATTGGACGTATACACAGCGTACTTGCAGCGCAGATGCAACGTACGCTGAACGGCGAGCGGCGGAAATGCGGCGGGAATACGCTCAGAAGTGCGTCAAGCATGCGGTCGGCATAAGTCGGGTGCGTCCGGAATACGCTCGGCATGCGCACTGCATACTGACCTATTCGCAGCCCGCAAAATAATCATGTGCACTGCATACGCAACTCATACGCATCCCATACGCAATGAATGCGCTGAATTCGTTACTTGTTCGCTAGATGTGCGTCGCTCATAAGTCAAAGTGATCAAAACATTTCGACGTTAATTGAGCGTACGGCTGCGTATTAAACATTGTTGATAAGGAACTCATAAGGAATTAGGATACGCAAAGGTGTGTCAGGGGCTTAAGCCTCAACGACCCTTGCGTGTGCTTTGTGTGCATGTACGTACACCCCACACACACTTCCGCGAATAGCCGTGCTGGAATTTACTACCTTAAGGAGACATGCACACAATAGGAAACCAAAGATTGTATACGTCTCCGCAAGAACATTTCTATAGATTAATACGTCTCCACAAGAATTTCACGAAAAACATATATGGATTTTACTCAAAAACTAGGAATTTCCAAGGTAGGTTGATCCGTCGCAAATGGAAGAGTTTTTGAAAAGGGATATTTAGTCCAAATTTCAGCCCAGGAAATTAATTCTGGTTAAAATAAGAGCATTTTGAAACTTTAATTGCAAACACGAAAACTTTACTACACGAGAACAAAGAAATGTCTCCACAGGAATACAAATTCCAGAATGTGGGTACAGTAAGTCCAGGCGGAGGATAGCCTTGACGCAACCGTGGCGAATTCCTTATGTGTTTCTTTATATTTTTGGCCGAACTTGGCCGAGAATGTTTGATGCGCAGTATTACACGATAGCCAATCAAAGCCCGTAAACTTTGATACGCGATATACATTTCCATGCAGCCCGCATATTACCGTAAACACCACGTATGGTCACTCAAAAATAAATGCCCAGGTATTTCAATCCCATTTTAAACCATTTCTCCAGTTTTATTCCAAACAAATGAAATATGCCGCTATATGAACGAACACTTGTTCAAAATAATGATACTAATTCCAATGTATTGCGAAATGAACAGTTCAAGACAGTTCATATTCGCCGACGTTTATTGCCCAGTGCAACAGCGTACATCACGCCGCTACCCGCGTACCCGTACCTGCCCGTGACATTCTGACCGTAGCGAATGTAGGGAACAGGTCAACTCGGACCCAGGTCAAATCGTACACATTTTATCGAATGCAGGTAACTCGATCTATGTCGCAGCCGTATGAACTGTAAGAAACGAGCTATTGACTTTTGGATGGATATATACTGACGACACTGTCATAGGGACTTGGTGAATAAAATCTCTCCCTCAATTCGTACCATGTGCAACATAATACGTGCGACACAGTACATGTATTTTAACGCTCACGTACTTACGAATTGTATGTCATACCTACGACATACGTACGACATTTAAGTCGTAAGTAAAACATATAAATCTTACCTATATGTCGTATGACATACAAGTCATACATAAGAGTTACAAAAATATGTCGTACGTACGAGATACAAGTCGTATTCACAAGATATGTCGTACGTAGGACATAATCGACAAACAAGTCGAACGTACGAGTTAAAATTCATATATTGTACACACGAGATATTAAGTCGTACTTATATACGACAAAGTCGTATGCGACATATATCGTACCCTGTCGACTCGACATTTAAGATCGTACGCGCGACATATATGCCGTACCGGCACCTGTCGACATTATGTCATAATTATGTTTGATATGTCATACCCTGTCGACATATTATGTCGTACCCTGTCGGTACTCAACATAAATATGTCGTACCCTGTCGATACATCAGTCGTACTGTTCTTAATCCTCTATGCTTTCTAATTCACTCAACAAAACCATTTTTCTCCAAAAATGTTCATTGGTACGAGTAACGGCCTATCAAGTTCCACCAGTCCACATGTATTTTAGATTTTTGAAAGTGAGAGGTCAATTTTTTTGGACGATATTTATCTTCCACGTTAGGCGATTTTTCTGTTTTCACAAATTGAGATGCTAGCAATTGAACATTACATAATTGTTTGCACGTAAATATTCTTGAGGGTTCTAGAAGCGCCTCGCAATGGGTGAGCTTTCAGGCTCCATTGTCCCGCCGCATGCTGTGTCCCATTTGGCATGTTTCCAAACGCCGTTTCTTTGCAACTTGTTGCCCGATTTCAAGCTCATATAAGGGCAAAATGCTATTGATAATCAAATTGTGAAAACTTTTGTCGGGCAACGAATGAAATCACTCCACCGAGCGCGTCGGAGGAGGGGCCTGTGCATGTGATGCCGTGTGCCTGCGTGTGTTCAGGCTCTGGGTGTTCCCCAAACCATTCAGTAAGCAAATCTCATTTAATCCTTCAACAATGAATACAGAACCTTCCAAATCACCCATCGTGGGCAGTCAATAATATTGAGAAAAAAATTGTAAAGTTCCGCTGTAGAAATATTCTCTTAAACAGAACAAACCTCGATGTTGGTCGTCGCACGCAAACGATTGTGTTCTTTGTATCTCTTTATAATGCAATCAATGTCAATATCCCTACACTTTCCAGTCCCCGGGAAAAAATGCGATAATCGACGAACATTGAAACCATATATTTTGACAGCGTGGTTTCTCTGCCTTTTGACTTACTCAACAAAACAACAAACACGAAAACCAAGCAAAACAATGTGTTGAACAAGCCACTTATTAGTGCAATATAAAATGAAGATATATATTCAACTGGCGTTTTTCTATGGTCATACGTTACAAGAAAATGGAACAAGGTTTTACAATTTTAACAAAAAGCTTTGTGGATTCTTTGATTTCTCTGGGTTTTTTTGTAAGAGGACGGACTGGAGTAGTGTGGCCAAACTTTGGATTAGCTAGACTTGACACTCTTTCTTTCACTTGGAAATATGTTAGCCCCCTCGCTGAGGGCATGTCCTCTTTGATAAGCGTGGGTAGACATGTTGTAGTGTTGTTGCCAGTGAATTCAAAACCAAACATTGTCCACTCTCAGGGTGGTCTGTGCAAAGTGTTTATTGCCTTCATACTATATATCTTTTTCTTGATCAGTGTACGTTCTCTCTTATTTCGTGGTGAGATTTTCATTAGAACTTTAAGCTCAGTGGTATAATAATAATAAATTAGAAAATATAGTATGCCAAATTATTGTTTTCAGAAAAATTAATGTGCACGATGGTTCGAAACTGCTCACTCCAGAAAATACATTTTGACCCCTCGGGGAATGGGATATTCGGTCAATGTTGTAGCCAATTACCGACTCGGGATATAAAGTCTTTAACTTCATTAGTCAGGTAATCAAAACATGCAGGGGTAACAATCAGCCAGTATAAAAACAAAAAAAAAACTTAAAATAACCTTTAAAATGGCAAAAAAAACAATTCAAAATAAAAAAAGGTAATATGGGACATACACAAACTGCATTTCAATGCGGATTGCATCAAAATATATTGCATGGACCCTTTAACATTAGATATAGGTTTACCTTTGTCCCTTACGTTTCCCTTATATTGGTGTACCCTTCTCCCTTATTATTTCCTCCTATTTGGGAATACTCAGACCCTCGGATCTACCTCCGTGTATTGCACTGAATGACAAACTTACAAATCACTCAGGTTAGTCAATAATAATTGAAAAAGAGGAGTATTAAAAGCTTTCTTTAGAAATTGTGCTCTCGAATAGAAGAGTGCAGGCTTCGATGTTGGCCACCGCACGCAATCGGTTGTGTTCTTCGTATTTCTTAAACTGCGATCATAGTTCATATCCTCCATTTTCTGATCCTCGGGCCATCACGTACAGAGGACACATTTAATACTTCTATTTAATTGTCATTCTAGATACGGTGATCCTCTTTGGCTGACGTCCGACTTAAATCACAAAGATGCAGCAAGAAAGATTAGTTCGGCGAGGTAAACCTAGGATCATAGCCGAGGAGTACAACCACTCACTCGGCAAACTCGTCAGCACAAAGAAAAGGGTTAAGCCAAGTCGTAAGTCGGCATTCATGGCCGCCTTTCCAGTCAAAGCCTCGCCCAGACTCCATCTTGTTGAAGCAGGAGCACCGGTCCTGTCATCGATAGGGGCTTCAATAAATCATCTTGAGCACAGCAAAACTGCGACAACAGAAGAAACAACCAGGAACTCTGAAGTGAAAAGGTATGACCGGGGAAATTACTCTGGAAATTTCAATTGACCAAATGCAAACTCATAATACTGTATAGCGAATATGACTATTTGTCAGAATTCTTAAGAATTGATCGTTATTTCCCCCATCCCAATCAACTACATGTATTAGTAAGCGACCTTTGGAATCAGATGTGAGTATCTGACATATTTTCCTTGTATACAAATGGTGGAAGAAAAGAGTGTATACAGGCCTAATAGAAACCTAACAAAGGTTAGGTAAATTGACAAAAAAAAACGATTGTCAGAGTTTTGTTGTCCATCTCATTCAGGAGATTTTATTGTATTTCCAACTTGCAGTCCCGTTGAAGTCAGACAGAAATTGCAGGTTTTTGTCCGAGGTCTCCTCTTACCAAAGACACTTTGCCTGCAACTGGATCCGGGGACATCCGTTTGTGACTTAAAGGCACTGGTTGAAAGTGAGAGTGGCATCAAGCCTGAAAATCAACATCTTTACATCGGGAGAAACTTTCAGGTGCTGCTTTTTACATTACCATATTTAATAACCATCAAAGAAAATTAATCCATTAATTTTTGTTTTAAATAATATCATCTGAGCGTATACATACCAAATCAATTGTGAATGGCTGTTTTGGCAGACGCAGAAACAGCTATTGTTTTCCTTTTTAAAAAAATCCTGTTATTTCTCTGTCCTTTTTCAGAGCTTTGTGACGAATGTGCTAGATATGAAAATTAAAGTGCCATCATGATTACGTCATCACAAGTCATGTGACGTCACATTAAAGAGACATTATTGTGCGACCTATATCTAGTAAACTAAGGTCCGATTTGGTGTAATGTGTGATAGTGTTATGTGTTGAACATGAATTAACACTAGTAACAGTCATTTCAAACAGCCAAAACAGCTTTGTTTGTTCAAGTGGGAAATTATTGGTTTCCTTTTTTTTCTAACTGCATTCCTTAAGTTTGTAAAATGTTGGTGGAAGGCGCGATGAAAGCATCGTTGATCTTTATGGAGTTTTTTTTTCTCGGGAAAGGAGTTTGTAAAAAAAAATGGTAAATTTCTTGCAAGGTATTCCGCAAGACCGTCTGGTCCTCTTGTATGGTACTGTTACGATTTGCAAATGTTATGTCAGTCAAATGAAGCAGTGTGCAACAGTTTTTCGCCAGGAGTCAAATTTGAAATATTATCAAAATTGCTTTGCAGCTTTGTGACCTACTCTCCATTCGCGACCATGGGATACAGCAAGACCAGAACATCAAACTTCGCGTTGGCGGCTTGTTAGGCGGTGGATCATTAGGTAACTATATCGGGGCATGAACCTGTCTAATCAGTTAAATTGAGTGTTTATTCAAAATCCACCTTTCAAAATGGAGAGGGAAATTCCTCCCCAATTTCGGCTTCATCCCTTTGCAAATGTCACATTACAACATGTTTAAAAAAAACTGCAGAAACGGCGACCTTGGAAATGACAGAGTGTACTTTGATTTAGGAGCATTTGCATGAATTAGCTGAAAGCATCATAAATGGTTTATTAGTCAGTACGATGGGCTTCTGATCTTCTGTAACCTCATCCCTGAGTGAAGAGTAGCTCATTTTCGCTTGGAGCCCCCAGAGCCTGGCTGAGATGATTGATGTAAACTGTTTATATGGTTTTGTACTCCAGACGAAGAGCAGTCGAGAAGCGATTGCTTCTCAAAATTGTCAGACGAGCTTGGACGAGGCTGGAAGAAGCTGGCCCGAAGATTGGGATTCAAGGAAGGACAACTCCACCCATTCGAAGAAGACAACAGGGGAAACTTACATGAACAAATCTTCCAAATGCTGGATGCCTGGTGGAAAAAGCAGGACAACCCCGCAGACGCTCCTGAAAAGCTGAGAGACGCTCTGAAAGATATGGGCCGTGTTGACTTAGCATCACAAGTTCCAGGTATGAAAACTAATTGGAAAGGTCAACTTACTCTTTATTGGTCAAGGTAAGCTTTTCATAAGGTGGTATTTTTGCGTCTGGGTAATGTAAACCAAACTAGGTTTTGCACTTTCTCCGACGTATAAACACTGCACACTCGGTGTGTTACCTCCCGAGTGAAAGTTGGGGAAAATCACTCGGGTGGGACTCGATCCCACTACCTCCTACTTTCTAGTGCAGACGACTTACCACTCAACCTCCGAGATAACGGGATCGGTTGGCTGGTTCGAATCTGATGTACATAGCAGCAGGTACCGCATAAACTGAAGGGTAAAACCTAATTTGATTTACATTACCCCGACACAAAAATTCCACCTTATGAATAGTTTATGCGGTACCAGATGCTATGTACATCAGATTCGAACCAGCCAGCCGATCCCGTTAGCTCGATTTAAAGATGGTGCTCCGGTGCTTTTCAAACAAAGTTTTCAATTTGTACGTTTTTTTAGTTTTACCTTAAGCATCTACAACCCTCCGAAAAGTTTTTTCATATTTTGTACACGAGGAAACCCTTATTAGTAGACCCAAATTATTGCCTGCGGGCCCGTTGCTAAGGGGGGGGGGGGGGAGTTGGCAAAAATGTATGAGCGTAAAAATCTACCACACTTGTGGAATTTTTCCTATGGTGTGCCCCCTAGCTGGTACTGTTGCCCCTCCTTATGATTGTGTGGTAGACACAAATAGTATTGTGAAGACATATTTCAAAAATTTAATGGTCGGTGGATTTTTAATTTTTTTTTTGGAAGTTTCATTAAAGAAATACCTTTGCACTGCTCGAAAAATAGCAATTGAAAAAAAAGTAATTTCTTTTTGTTTCCATGTAAAACGTGTAAGTGGTTCGGAGAACGCATCTTTAAACAATAGTGTACAAGGAGAACGTGCTTATGGTCGCCTTCACACTGAGGATCTCATATGTGTACGTCACTGATTAAGCATTTGTTTCACTCTCAAGTTAGTATGTTTTATGTGGAAATGATGAAGGCTGAATTGAGCATGTGCTTAGATACGACATGAACTTTAAAACACAGGGACGTTTTTTTAGTAATAACATTATGTTTTCGAAACACTTTCTTGCTCTCAGTTTGTAAGCGTGTTTCAACAATAAACATGTTTACAGCATTGATGGACAGCTTTTAGCAATTGAGCACTGATGTTTAGGAATAGGACACGAGCCATGTTTACAAAATGATAGCAAGATTGTGTTCAATTCCTCAACACAGCCTCTGTTTAATGTACATGCTGATAGTTTACTTTATTGTTCCCGATTTTTGTTGTTCTGCACAGGTATTGCAGGAACCTCTTTTGACGTTACACAGTGTGCAAGAGAATTGGCAGCGCATTACCGAGAGACGATGAAAATTAGGACACCTCTTAAAGAGAGACACATGTCGAGAGAGATGGATGACCTCTACGTCACCCCACAGCTACTGCAAGAAACGAACATACCAACTCCCGCCTCCTCATCGGAGACAAAGATGCAGGCAGAAACAGGCAGCCAATCGGAGCGTCCGAAAGATTCGGACATAGGTACACCTGATTCTCTTAGATCACAACCTGATACGGACAAAGGGTTTCATGTCCAGAAAATTCCCCTTGACTCTTATGAAGACATGCTAAAGCTTAAAGGAAATAGATTATTGATCACAGCTGAGGCGGGTTTTGGAAAAACCACACTCTTTAAAAAGATTGCCTACGATTGGGCTAATCTGAAAATCAAGGGGGATCAAACTGAAAACCAACAACAACCTGAATCCACATCAGTTCTTGGAAAGTATGAGCTTGTCTTTGTGGTCGAGGTCAATCGAATGGGTAAGAAATTTGACATCATTGACGCAATTTTCTCTCAAATAATCACTGACGGGAAACAGAAGAAGAAATTTAAAGACTTAGAAAAATACATCCATGACAACCCAGAGCGCGTATTAATTCTTTTTGATGGTGCTGATGAGATTTCCATGCAAACAGTAAAGGATGCACAGTGTGATAGTGGAATTGAGTTGAACAGTGTACTATCGTTCAGATCACTCAAGTCGTGCAAGGTTATAGTTACAAGCCGACAGAAAACGGCAAATGAACTGCTGAATATGCATGCGCACTACACAAAAATTAACATGGTGGGCTTTGACAAGAAAAAAAGGGAAATGTACGTGAGGAAATTTTTGAGAGAGTTTAAAACAAATGATCAAGATACCTTCCTTGAAAAGGTTCATGTATCTGAAACGTTGCGTAGTTCAGCGGAGATACCGTTATTCCTGGGGCAGATGTGCCACATATGGGAACATGAAGGGAAATTGCCTGATCGTATAACCAGCCTTTTTGGGGATGAGGCAAGTGAGGAAACAGACGAGCACGTTTCTGACACCGAGACACAATGTCACGTTTCCCAACTTGGTCGGATAGCTCTTGAAGGTTTGTTAGATCCAAATGGGGAGAAACTTTATTTCATGAAAGACAAGATCGACCTAAAAGACCGAGAGACTTTCGAGAGGGGCATGGATGATGGCTTGTTGTCCTTCCAACGTCTTAAGACAGGATCTCAATATTCGTTCCTGCACAAAACTTTCCAGGAATACCGCGCGGCGGTATACCTCGAAGAATTGTCAAGGACTGACAGAGAAGCCTTTGACCAATACCTGTCTCGTATATTTCATGGTGATGTGGAAAGCTTGGAATACGTTTTGCGATTCTGCTGCGGGCTGAACAGAAACGCGGCCGAGATGATTTTAAGGCGCATTGGGAAACTCTTAAAGCAAAATGAACTAGACACGGCCTTGCACAGAATTTCGATGTTGCTCCTATTTGAAGCTCAGTCAGAATCCCTTGTAAAATACTTTGTCGAAACTGGGAAGGTTGCGTTTCCATATGAACTCAAAGGCGAACTTCTCGTAGCTGCGCACTATTTCTTTCAAGTCGGGTCCAAATACACAACTCTGCACAAAGTTGGCATACAAGAAATTAGTGCAACATGTCGAGGTTTAGCTGACTTCACACTTTTAAAGGATATAATGACGTACATACAATATAAACCATCCTTGAACCTTGTACTGAATGAAATAAGTTGGGACAGCTTTGTGGATAACTCCACAGAGATGTTGAAATGTCTGAAGTCTTTAAAGGTAGATTTCTGTGATTGTAACCTTGTCAATCTTTTGCAAATGTTGTCAAATAACAAAACACAAATAGTTTCATTAACAACAAGTGGAACCATATCGCCCAATACTCTGTCTAAACAAGATATTCAACCAATTCCAACTCTAAAAGAATGTTATCATTTTGACTGTGGTCTGAAAAACAGTGACATCCAACCACTTTTTACTCTCCTTGCTGAAGCAGGCAGCATAGAGACGCTTGCTTTGACAGGAAGCAATCTACACGGTTTGCAGCCTCTTAAGGTAACTGCTGTTCCGACTCTGTCCAAACTACATCTCTATGATTGTGGTCTGACAAACAGCGACATTGAGCCGCTCTTTTCTCTCCTGTCAGCAGCAGGTAGCATAAAGACAGTTGTTCTGAGAGGAAATAATCTGCATGGTTTGCAGCCAGTCAGGATCGCCAGTGTCCCTTGCCTTGAAGATTTGCAACTATTCGACAGTGGTCTCACAAACAGCGATATTGAGTCACTTTTTATTCTCCTATCGGCAGCAGGCAGCATAAAGTCATTTCTTTTGTCAGGAAGCAATCTACACGGTTTGCAGCCTGTTAATGTTACTGCTGTTTCATCCCTGTCTGAATTACATCTTTATGATTGTGGTCTGACAAACAGCGACATTGAGTCACTCTTCTCTCTACTGTCAGCAGCAGGCAGCATAAATACTGTTTTTCTGAGCGGAAACAACATACACGGTTTGCAGTCTATTAAGGTAAATGCTGTTCCGTCTCTGGAGAAACTACTTCTCTATGAATGTAGTCTGACAAACAGCGACATTGAGCCACTCTTCTCTCTACTTTCAGCAGCAGGCAGCATAAAGGAACTTTTTCTGAGAGGAAACAATCTACACGGTTTGCAGTCTATTAAGGTAAATGCTGTTCCGTCTCTAGAGAAACTACATCTCTGCGAATGTAGTCTGAAAGAAACTGACATTGGGTCACTCTTCTCTCTACTGTCAGCAGCAGGCAGCATAAAGAAACTTTTTCTGAGAGGAAACAATCTACACGGTTTGCAGCCTGTTTATGTTACTGCTGTTCCATCCCTGTCTGAATTATGTCTATATGAATGTAGTCTGACAAATAGCGACATTGAGCCGCTCTTTTCTCTCCTGTCAGCAGCAGGCAGCATAAAGACAGTTGTTCTGAGAGGAAATAATCTGCATGGTTTGCAGCCAGTCAGGATCGCCAGTGTCCCTTGCCTTGAAGATTTGCAACTATTCGACAGTGGT